AAAGATTGTCTTGTCCATGTAGGTAGAGAAATGATCCAATTGTAATCACTTTATAGCTTTTGTTAGTCAATTCTTTTTCTTTAACTACTGAACACTGGATTTGATGTAGATTCAGAGCTAGATAGTCTTTTACTCTAATGATTTTCCATCTAGTATTTTTCTGGTATTTTTTCATGTTGTGGTTACTGGGTTAATTTGTTGTGTTACTTCTGCATTTCTCGATTTCATTCTGAGGTTAATACAAAGGGAAATCATAACAGTACATTTTTAGTTTCTTATTTCAACTTTCCTAGAAAGTAAAATTGAGTAGTTCTTTGTTGACGAAGAGAAAACATGTTAAAGGCCAAGAAAGTATAAGAAGCGAAGTGACTTCTTAGGTAATAAAACAACGCTGTAAATTACCAAAATTCCAAGTAGTGAAATTGGGGGCTAATTCTTCTACATGAGTAGAATGAAATCCAATATTGATCTTAACAAAGACAGCAAAATGCTTGTTTCACCAGTGATTCAAATGAGCTAATGGACAGTCTTTTGGTTTGCAAACCCACTGTTTGCTATATCTGTCATTTAATACACATGTTTTCAGCACTGGGAAGAGAAAAAAAGATTGTATGGCCAGAACACAAAACCCCTCAGGTTGAAAGCTGCCTGAGTGCACTGGTTTGAGGATTCTCTCTAGTCAATAAAATTGTTCAAGAATGAGTAATTTGTTTGACACAACTAGAATGAAAAGAAAGGGACTTGGGGTATTCTGATAGATTATCTTCTTAATCTGCATCATAAGAATGACATTAATAAATCATAACAAATTTTATTGAATATTAAGTATGGTCTAGCTTTTGAGCTAGGATATTTACTGTTATTAAATCATTTCTCTCAACATATCTATGTGGATTGCAATCGTTATTAAATTATACAGAGAGAAGTACAAGGCTGGAATAATGAAGTAGTCAGAATGTAACAAACTTTCTAAGGTCAAATTCTTAGGGAAAGTTGAAACAATGACTAGTCTGGGAGGACTCATGAAAGGAAGTGAGAGATAGAAATGGTCATGAAATTTGTGTATGGAAAAGAGACCGTGGTATTACATCAGTATTGCAGGGAGAGTGAAATGACAAAGAGTTTAGAGTTCCAACTCAAATCCAAAGGCTTGCTATCTTAGATTTTGTAAAGCAAAGATATTATGGTACAAATGGATTAAATGTACTGATTTTAAACACTAACAAGGAGAAAACAGTTACAAAGAAATAGATTTTTGACCATTGAGAAAAACCCAAAGATTGGATGAGTGATGATTGTTATAAAATACATTGCTATAACTTTATTACCCATTTGAAAGATTCTCTGGACAAATTATTGAATGATGCAGAAAGCATCAAGAGAAGATGGAAGTAATACACAGAGTCACTGTACCAAAAGGAAATGGTTAATGTTAAACTCTTTCAAGAGGTACCATATGATCAAGAGCCAATGATACTGAAGGAGGAAGTCCAGGGTGCATTGAAGGAATTGGCAAAGGAAATGGTACCAGGAATAGATGGAATGAAAATTGAAATCTTTCAGGAAAGTGCTGAGGCACAGGAAGCACTCACTCATCTCTTCCAAGAAATATGGAAGACAACTATCTGGCCGACTGACTGGAAGAGAACTGTATTTGTGCCCATGCCAAAGAGCAGTGACCCAACGGAATGTGGAAATCATCAGACAATCTCTTGGATATCCCAGGTGACTAAAATTTTACTAAAGTTAATACAGAAATGGCTGTAAGTATACATTGACAGAGAACTTCCAGAGGCTCAAGCCAGATTCAGAAGAGGCCATGGAACGAGATATATCATTGCTGATGTTCAATGGATCTCGGCTGAAAGCAGAGAATATCAGAAAGATGTTTTCCTGTTTTTTATTGATGATGCAAACGCTTTCGATTGTATGGATCATGAGAAGCTATGGACAACACTGAGAAGTATGAACATTCCAGAACACATAGTTGTTTGTGCCCCTAAGGAATCTGTACCTGGACCAAGAGGTAGTTGTTTGAACAAAGTATGGGAAGACTGAATGTTTTCAAATTAAGAAAGGTGTGTGACAAGGTAGTATTTTTTCACCATACTTATTCAATCTGTGTACTGAGCGAATAATCCGAGGAGCTGGGTTCTATGAAGAAAAATGTGGCATCAGAAGTGGAGGTAGACTCATTTATAACCTGTGATCTGCAGATGATACAAGCTTGTTTGCTGAAAGTGCAGAGGATTTAAAACATTTACTGATGAATATCAAAGAGCACAGCCTTAAGTATGAATTACGTCTCAATGTCAAGAAAACAAAAATCCTCACCACTGGACCAATAAACAGCATTCTTATCAACAGAGAAAAGATTGATGTAGTCAAGGACTTCATTCTTCTTGGATCAACTATCAACACTCACGGAAGCAGCAGTCAAGAAATCAAATGGCATATTACATTAGGCAAATCTGTTGCACAAGACCTTTTTAAAGTGTTGAAGAACAAAGATGCCAGCTTGAGGACTAAGATGCGCCTGAACTAAGTCATGGTATTTTCAATAACCTCATATGCTTGTGAAAGCTGCACAATGAATAAGGAAGACCGTAGGAAAATTGATGCTTTGGGTTATGGTGTTGGAAGAGAATATTGAAAGTGCCATGTGCTGCCCAAAGAACCAATAGATCTGTTTTGGAAGAAGTGCAGCCAGAGTGTTCCTTGGAGGCCA